TGGTAACCGCGCCCAAGTTCGCGCTCGAAGCACCGAAGTTGAGACCACGCTCCAATATCTGCGCGCGCATTCTATCGGCGCAGAAGAATTGTGTGCTCAAAGCATTATGTTAGTCCCCTTCTCGAGTATACGTCAGTTCTCGCTGAATCTCGATCCCAGATGCCAATGTGCCTCGTGCTGCATATATGCGCCCGCCTCCGTCGCTAGCCTGGCCTCGGGCGAAAACCGCGCTCTACCATGACTTTGGGATACGGCTGCGACAAACTCTCGAGATGTTCGTACAAAAATCTCGAGACATCACAATTTCCCAATGCTTAATTGCTTAGTCGTACAGAGCATGACATTCGACATAGCTCCCTGACCCACCACCGTTGGCCATCCTCGGTGTCTCGGGCCACGGCCAAGGGCGCCGGGACGCAGAGGCTCCGGGGCTCATGCGAAGACGGTCTCGAAGGCCTTGCGACCGTAGCTGTATTCCTCCGAGGACGACGTCACGGAAAGGGATCCGACACTCATACGGGCGGAAGGTCAGATTGTCTTCGAGGTTCCGGCAGAACGTGCGTATTTGAAACCACTTAGGACTTTGGTTAGAATTGATAGGAATGAGAACTAACAGGCTTGGGCACTACCTCTTCCTTGAACCGTATCCAAAATGAGCTTGGTAATGGTTCGCCAGTAGGCTTTTGGATATTCAGACCGTTCCGCTCCACTCTTGAGTCAAAGCCGCTATAGAACGTATGGCCTTTAAGCGTTCCTATATTCAAATGTGTAGGTTTGAACCCGAATTCGTTTCCGCTGCGCGTGTTTTCGGTGGTCCTGACAAGTAGTTCGTCGACCGCGTGGTCGCCCAAGATGCCGAGATCATCCAGATGATCTTCAAAGGCCAAGCGATCGAATATTTCCGGATCCCAGTCCATAGTATCTGGTCTGAAACTGCGTGTGAGAGAGAAGGGCTTGGCTGTGCGAGCATGGTCTTGAATAAGCTTCAAGTTGGCATCACGAAGGATGGTAAAAGCGGAAACCCACAGCCCGATTGAAGAAAATGATAAAAGGGGAAAGACAGACCAGACTAGCTCCAGTTATCACTCATTATCCAACGAGACATAGCGTTGCCTACAGTCGAATGGCGAAGATCAACATGTGTGGCAGTGCAAGCTGACTCGGAGGATCAAGTTGCGATCGGTCTACTTACTACTTCAGGTTGATCTAGGCGCACGTTGTACATGTTCGACCACCCCGAGGCAGCACCCTTCCTCATTGTTTAACACTCGATGTCAATATCCTCAAATATCAGCGCGTCAGCTCTCGCTTTCTCTAGCTTGCTTGCGCTCAGATGCCTTGGACTTGTTATACAGGAAGAGTCTCGTCATCGATGAACACCTGAACAATGCGCTCCCAACGGCTAGTACACAAACGAGCTGCATGAGACCAGTTCCGGCCTCTGACCCTCGCTATGAAACCCAGCAAGAGTGCACATACATCATGCTGAGGCCTTCTACTCTGTAACATCCCGGTGCAGCACTGATAGACCGCCATAAACGGGTCTGAAAGCCGTCAGCCGCGATATAACATCCTGGGCCGAGTCGAAATACCTTGGCAGCACTCTCTTTCCTTCGAAAACATAGGCACTCTCCTCCGCTACTGTACTCTGCAATGTGCTGGAACGTCATCACGACTCTACTGTGCGCGTCCGTTCTGGCTGCAACGGCTACGCCGTCGTATCCGGAGAACACTCTCCGCGCGAGAGACGCTGCTGTAGATAATATTGTCTATGTTACGGATGCCAGCAAATACTGGTAAGTAGTGCATATTTATCTGTCTTACAGCGTACCAAGTGTATGCTTGTTTTCAGTATGATTATGCCTCGCGATCCCCACACGAATATCGGAGACTCTGAACACCCAGGGTAAGCCCCTCGGCCTCAGAGACTGTGAGGCTTTTTGAAGAAAGCTGCACAGAGGAATGAAAACCTATTGCTCTCCTGCCGGTCGCAACTCAAGCCAGCAAGGGCAGCTTCCCGCCGACTTCTGGAGCAACGTCGAGTTCAAGAGTGGCAAGGGGAAGAACGGCGGCCGTTTCGCGCAGCGTAAGTCGTCCTGCCGCTCACGTCGATATTAGGCTGACTTGCAGCGAAAGTAACTGGCTGCATTCGACCAAGCCATCTCAGTCGTCTGAACCCGAACGACGCCGGAGGGCAGTACGACTCCAGCGGCGGGGCTGGCGGCAAGGGCAATCCGCAAGGCAGCCAGTGCTTAGGATACAAACATTACGTCGAAATTGTCGAGCCGGCCGGACCCCGTGCATGCATCAAGTGCTGCGACGACCCTGCGGATTGCCCGACGAACAAGGGTATATATATATACCTTATGAAACTCACCTAGTCGTGCTGACACGTTCTGGTAGATACGCAGGGCTGCCCGAACGTCATCGAGGGCAACTATTTTGACTGCGCATGATGTCTACGGCTTCCCCCTCGCGTAATGAGTATCTTGTCTCCATGATCTTGTCCAATTTCCTGGACACTGAGCCGTCGGACACATCACGCACTACCCTTTGCGACCGCACGGCTCTGCGCTCCCATCTTCACCTATAAGGTATCAAGTTCCCGTGTTTGTCATTACATACAAATGCTAGCCGCTCCTTACATGACCCACTAGTCTGCTAAGCGTACACCTTTTCGTTCCAACCGGGAAGAATTTGCGCAGTTTCGAAGCTTGGGTCACCGCGAACGACATTCTTGGTCCGCTGCCACTTCTGCTTCGCGAACGTCCACTCTGGACATATCGTCAGCCGCATACACTAGGGTACAGTATAGGAAGGCGCTTACCCTCCATGGTCGGCACGGGGTTTCCGCTCTCCTCGAAGCTGTTCTGGGTGGTGCCTGCGCGCTGTAGCACAGGGGACTCCTTGATGGTGGCAAGCTTGACGTCGTTGTGCGGACTGCGCTTTTCTGTCAGAAGACGACAGCAGACCCGATACCCAGGCACTTACCGCGAGAAATAGAGCAGCCCGAGGCGGTCGACATGCTGCTGGTCCTTGGGCGGTGCCGCGACTCTATAGGAACCGCATTCAGCCGCCACGTCCCTCAAGAAAACCAACATACTCACCGGTGTATCGTACTCCGTACGTACCCGCCTGTGAGCAGGTTGAGCGCGTCGCACGTGTTGACGGTGAGCGTCCCGTCCTGGGGCTTGACCCACTTCCACTCGCCCGTCGCATGGTTCCTGATCTGCAGCGCAGCGACGGGCTGCCGGAAAAGGAGCGTGAACGAGCCGAGGTCGGTATGGCCGCGACCCCAGAGCCCGAGCCGCGCGTTTTCCTCAGGCGTGAACTTGCCGTACTTCATGTACCGGAGGTGGTCCTGGCGCGGCGGTCAGCACGTGTCAAGGGCCCTGGGGGGAAGAGGGGAAAGAGAGGCCACCTCGCTCTTCCTCTCGTAGGTGTGGATGTTACGAAAGTAGTCCTCTGGGAGCTCTAAGGCGATGGCGAGCAGGGTGTGCAGCGGATCGAGCACCTCTGAGTGCAGAGACTAGCGTCCGAAGAACAATCAGCGACGGTGGCGCGATACGCGAGAGGTGGTAGTACCCTAGCGAATTCTTCAATCTCGGGCAGGTTCTTCGTGATAATCTCAGGGTGCTCATGCTTGAAGTCACCGTTGAACTCTAAGAGTGCAGGTTAGCGGTTGCCGCGCAAAAGCGGACGGGGGACCCACTGGGGATGTTGTATACCTCTACCCTGTCACGAAGGCCGGAAGCAGCATCCAGACTATCCACAGGGTCAGCACCGAGCAAACCACGTTCTAGAGCACACCTACATGCGCCGGCCCGCAGGCACGTAGCCATTGAAAGCACCATTATCTGCGAACCTCGCTCAGCATCGCGACCAGCCACGCGCCACTGCAAAACACGAGCGTACCAAGGCCCTCTGGGACGTACTTGAGCTTCTCCGCGAGCGGGACGTCGTAGAGCTGCTTCCCGATCGCGAACTGGCGGTTCACGCGCTCCTGGGCGATGCCGAAGTTCTTCACGTAGAAGAAGCCGTCCTCGCGCACGGCCTTGATGAGTGTCTGCGCGAGCTGCTGCTGGCCTTCGGGTGTGCCGTACAGGCTCAGGTCGATCGTGACGAGGTCTGCCCAGTTGAGGTCTTCCTAACGTGCCGAAGGCTGTTAGGCCAGCAGGAGGTGGCGCGCAAACGCAGGGGCGTACCTTCGTCTCGGGGACAAAGTTGTAGGAGCCGAGTTCGGGGACGGGGACTGGCATTCTGGAGAGTTAGGGGGTAGACGGCTGACGGTGAATGTATACAATGAGTCGTGGTATAGGATTGCTGCTAGACACTGTTTCTCCGGCAGCGTTCGTGCTTTATAGCACCATCTGTCTCGCTGTATGGTCTTACAAAGCCAACGGCATGTCACTTCGCATTCGTCACCTCATAACATCCGGCGATGGTGCTATTACGCCTCCTGACCTCAGCGCTCCCAAGCAGCCCGATAACGAGGAAACTCACAGGGTGCATGAGACAATGGACGCTGCTTGGTCCACGAAGTGACGACACAGTTGACTAAAGTCCCGAACGCCGTTTCAAGTTCGAATCGAGGCCTGCTACCCTTACTCTCCCACTGCATCCTTACTGTACGGCGTCAATCGCGACGTCGCTATGATATATGCAGCCGCTATGGTACATTTGGCGTCTTTCCTTCCACTCTCATGCGTAATGCTTCTCGCTGTGGCCAGGAAGGATCTGTGCGTTCTCGTATTTGGGATCGCCGCGAACGGCGCCCTTCGTGCGTTGCCACTTTTGCTTTGCGAATGTCCACTCTGTGCACCAGTCGGCGTTGAGACGCGTCCATGTAGACGGCGCAACTGACCTTCCATAGTTGGCACAGGATTTCCACCTTTCTCGAACGAGTTCTCCGTATATCCTTCGCGTTGCAGGACGGGCGAGTCCTGGATCGTAGATAGTGTGACATGGTTGTTCGGCCTGGGCGCGCATTTTGAGAGGGATCAGGGATGACTCATCCGAGTCAGCTCACCTCGAGAAGTACAACAACCCGAGCCGGTCAACGTGCTCCTGGTCCTTCGGAGGCGAGGTAACACTAGAAGAGATATTATCAGTTCTCGAGCACTGATAGTGGTCAAGAAGTCTCTAACCGATGAATGGTGCTACGGACATATCCGCCAGTGAGGAACGAAAGCGCGTCACAAGCGTTCACCGTTAACGTGGCGTCCTGCGGTTTGACGTACTTCCATTCGCCGGTCCTGTGGTTCTGGATCTGCAGAGCAGCAACCGGCTGGCGGAACAGAAGCGTCCACGATCCGAGATCTGCCAACGAAGATCGTGTTCAGAATCTGACAAAAGATGATCCCAACAGAGATACGCACCAGTGTGGCCTTGTACCCAGAGTTTACCAATCTTGGCATTCTCCTCCGGAGTGTACTTGCTGTACTTCATATACCGCAGATGATCCTGATGGAGTGCGTCAATTGTCTGTATGCTATTGCGCCGTAACGTGGCGCCTTACCTCGCTCTTGACTTGATACTGGTGGAGGTTGGTGAAGTAGTCTTCGGGAAGTTCGAGAGCAATAGCGAGGAGGACATGAAGAGGATCCAGGACCTCGGTATGCAGAGACTGATACGTGGTCAGATAGAGCAATGTGGAGTAGGTTTCACTTACTCTGGAGAACTCCTCTATCTCGGTAATATTCTCCTGGATGATCGCGGGGTGTTCATGCTTGAAGTCGCCGTTAAACTCTGACAATCGTATGAGTATACATTTCGTTCATCATCTCGCGAGGACGGCGTACTGGGAATATTGTAGACCTCAATGCGGTCTCTCAGTCCAGAAACCGGGTCCAAGCTACAGAAAATATAAAGTGATCTGCCGGTTTGAACGTAGATAGCTACTCACATGCGACGTCCCGCAGGAACATAGCCATTGAACTGACCGTCGTCTGAAGCAGAATTTAGCACCAAAGGTCGCTGCGCTGTCCGGTGTGGTACACACCGAGGCCCTCGGGAACATGCTTGAGCTTCTCCTCAACTGGGACGTCGTAGAAACGCTTTCCGATGGCAAATTGACGGTTGACGCGCTCTTGAGAGATGTTGAAGTTCTTGACATAGAAGAAGCCGTCCTCACGAACACCCTTGACCAGAGTCTGGGCAAGTTCCTTCTTGCCCTCGGGAGAGCTGAGGAGGTTGAAATCCAAGGTAATGAGGTCTGCCCATTCGAGATTTTCCTGACCGCCTGTATGAGTAACAAAGCAGATCCTTCTTCGCCGAGCTGACCTTGGTCTCGGGGACGAAGTTGAACGAACCAAGCTCAGGGACAGCGACTGGCATTTTGATGGCTCTCACGTGATGTTAGCGTCCTGTTTAGGAAGGTGGGCTGCTTTTGCTACTCTCGCGGGGCCAGAGACAAGGACGACAAGAGCACCGTGCGTGTTCGCGACGTGCTTTTCAATGACTCTCAGCGAATAAACACAGATTTATGACTAATTTTTCGTGGGTGCAGACACAAGGTCGACCGCCTTCCAGGTCACCTCATTGCCGGCTTCGATGGTGTTATGTGGAATAACTCGCTCACGAGACGCACTGCGGCGCGTCTCCAGTGCGAAGACAAATCATCCCTGAACAGAAGGTCGCTGATAAACGTGCATTGAACGGTGGTTATCTCTGGCGTGCTCTTGCAGCATAGCCCTTGATGGACACCTCACCCTCTCAGGCATCAGCGCCCCATGACTCTCACGCGTACACTGTTGCCAAAACAGCTCGGCTCCGCTTCCAGCCCATTGTGAGGTGGGTTCTTAGCCGGACACAAGGTTCCATTCTGATGGCCATTATGGAGGCAGGTACCGAGGCACCTAGGTTTGCCCATCAAACGGCGTTCTCTCTGCTTCGATCGCAATGGTGCCATCCCACGGCAGAATGAGGCCCTCCGATACGTATAAGCTATCCGTGGTCGAAGCTGAAGACTTGGAGCCCTTGCTTCACTCAGAACCAGACTCTTCGCGCCTTCGACCTGCCGAGCCAGTATCAATGACCGCCAACGGCAAAGCTCGCCGTCCACTACGCAGCTACATCTGGTGAGCGCGCCGCGCGGTACAATATTGATTTATCCACACCTGACCGTTGTTCCCCAGGGATACGTGGGATAAGTCGCCTGAGGAACGAAAGTTCCTGGGCAGACTCGACGCTTGTTTGCTCACATATGCTGCGCTCTCGTATTTCAGCAAGTATCTTGACCAGCAGAACGTTACGGTATGTCGTTCGCACAAAATGCGCTGGCAGAATTTTACAGTATAGCTCATGCATGACTCCCCCAGAACGCGTATGTGTCGGGAATGAAGGATGAGTGAGTCTCGAACGTCTGGCTTGTGGCAAACGCTGATCTGAGCGACATCACGATAGCCTGAAACTGTAAACAAAAAGCTTCTCCGGGAGCTTGGATTACACTTACAGCCCCCCTAAGGCACGGCAACGAGCTCAACTATATTACAACTGCATGGACATGCGGCTACGTTATCGGACAGATACCTTCAAAGTATGTTTTTGTTCTCGAATACATTCAACGGCTCACACCGGTCTGTCCTAGTCTCTTGCTCACTAGAGTCCGGCCGTCAATATGGGTACGTTTACAAAAGATCACCCGAATCCGCCACGTACTCATCGAACGCGCTTGTCGCAGATTCCAGCCATGGAGCTCATATGGAGTGCACTAACGATGGTCCTTGCGTCTGCCAATAGTTTCTCGACGCTCGTGGTCATCCGCTTTTTCGTCGGTACGTTGTTCATTTATTCCCGTGAACCTCATCTCAATATGCTCTGCGCAGGTCTGGCAGAGTCGACATTCTATCCGGCGATCCAGTACGTCATAGGGAGCTGGTACAAGGGAGACGAGCTGGCCAAGCGAGCCTGCATCTTCCACGTACGTACGGCGCTTTCGTGATGCTTTCTAGCGCTCAACGCGTCCGCAGACCGCAAGCGCGATAGGACCCATGTTCAGCGGGTTTCTGCAGACAGTGAGCTCTTCACGCGCATATATACCTTATCAAAGACGTTTCTGACGACAGCTAGGGAGCCTACAATGGCCTGAACGGAGTGCATGGCTTGGCGGGCTGGCGGTGCAAGTATCCTTCGCGCACCGCCTACTCTTCTACTCACTCACCACTTCACAGGGCTCTTCATCATCGACGGCATCATCACTGTGCCTATCGCATTCTTGGGCTTCCTCATCATGCCAGGCACGAGCCTCATTCCCCACGCCTCCGGAGAATCCCGCTGAACCCGTTGTTCCCGCAGATCTCCCTTCGAACACGAAGCCGTCGATGCTCTATACCCAAGAGCAGATTGACATGGCACAACAGCGGATGCTGTCTGTCGGCAGAAAGCCCCCGACGCACTTCACGAAAGCGAAGGTCCTTGGGTTCTTCAGAACCTGGCATGTCTGGCTCTTGACACCACGTACGTGCCGTTCTTCCTTTCATGGGGCGCACAGGAAGTACTAATCACAATTCCTGTAGTCTATATCCTGGTGAGTAGCGAAACTTTATCGTGCAAAGTAAACAGGGCTCAGTGTCCATGCACAGTTTAACAATGCCAGCGGGCCGTCCACTTCGATGATCTTCTGGTGCGTACGCTTTGGCCAACTGTAGAAATTCTGACCGACTTCTTCACCAAGGCTGCAGAGCTTCAATACACCAGGGCACCAGAAGTATTCTGTGGGACAGATCAACACGTACCCTCTGGGTATCTACGCCATCCAGATCATCAGCAGTGCGTTTGCGTGTGTTGATATCTGCCTTGTCCGATGCTGAGAATGTTCGATGTCTAGCCCTGGTATGGGCTTGGTGGTCGGACGCCATGCAGCTTCGCTGGCCGCCCATTATTGTCGCCGGGGTATGCGCTTTCTGAGTCAAGGACGAATACATGCTAACAGACAGCTAGCTATGGCACATGGTCGTCTGCATTGTGCTGGCAGCCACGCCGTTGTACACGCATATAACGAGGTAAGTCTCTGCCGTGAGTCGCTATATGATCGAAACCCTAACCCAGCCTCTCCTAGACGCTGGGCGTTTTATTACTTCGTGCGTGTCTTCGAGTTTCGGAACCTGCAGGCGATTTTATAGCCTCTCCTGCAGACAAACATCCAGGGCGGACTATCAGGCCTCATTCTGGCTTGGGCTAACGAGCTGACCGGGAGCGACAGCGAGAGTGAGATCTGACGCGCCCTCTCCGGCCTAAGCTCAGCTTACGCATATCCACCCAGAGAGATCCTTCGTCGTCGCGTCCTGCAACACCTTCGCCTACGTCTTCCAGGCCTGGCTTCCAATGTTTGTCTCCAATCTACGCACTAGCCCTGTGCACTGTGCTAACATCGTCATCTTCCAGCGTGATCTTCCCCCAGGTTGAGCAGCCACGGTGCGTCCCTCGACACTACTCTCACGCGGCAATCTTTGCTCATCTCAGCATCTAGCGTCCTGAAGGGCAATATCGCGACGGCATGTATCGACTTCGGCCTCAGTAAGCCGTCACATCTTTCTCAGTCTTTCTTTCACTTACGTTACCGCCTTTAGTATCCGTCTGCTTGGCTGTGCTCTTCATGCAGAAGCGCGACGAACGGAGAGCCCGCGCAGCGCAGGTCGCAGACGCCCTAACCGTTGCGGACCAGAGCATGGAGGAGCTCAACGACGACATCGACGCCAAAGACGACGCCAAGATAAACGTCAGCATCGACAGGATCTCGGTGCAGTAACACGGTTCACAAGTGGCATGTCGTTGTCTTTCTGTATTGTACATGGGGGACCAGCCCCTTCGTTTAATGATGCTCAGTGGTGGAGCGGAAGCCTCTGCATCGACTACCAATCAGGACGTGCCTCCACATCAGCGTCTAGAAAGCGCACCAACGTCGCAGGCGTACCAGTCACACGAGGCATCCGCGCGTGGGACAGCCCAGCGGCGCACGCGCACGCCCTCCGAAACACGCGCGCGGCGCCCCTGCAAGCGCACCAGCGCAACGCGCAGTACACACCGTCGAGAAAGCGCGGGTGCAGGAAGATCTTGATGCAGTCGCACCGGAAACCGTCGATGAGCCAGCGGCGGCAGTCGCCCCCGGCGGCGAGCATGGCGGCGATGAGCACGAGGCACGCGACGTCGTCGTCCGCGAGGAGTGCGCACCACGCGGGCAGCACGCAGCCCTCCAGGAACCGGTCCCGCACGCGCGCGAGCGACATATCCATGTCTTCCGGGGTGTGTCCTGTGCGAGACGGGTGATCAGCACGGGAGGGTGTGTGTGTGCGCGCGCAAAAACGGGGGGCGTGTGCTGCCCGGGTACCTGGGTCTGAAGTCTTCGGAGAATGGTGGGCCTGTCAGGATGTCGCGCGGTCGCGAGTGATATACGCCGCAAGAGGCACCTCGTGCACCGGCATGCACGGCGGCGAAGGGGCACGCCTACGCGCAAATTATCCCCGCATGACAATTAATGGCACACCAGACTGGGTGGCGTTATATCCGACGGACGGCTGGCATGAAACAATACATGTCACAGCCAGTGCCCCCATTCCTTTGCTGGGATGAACAGTATAAAGACATCACCAGACCACGGAGAACAGGTCGAAACGAACTAGAGTTTTCCCGTGGAAGCGTCTGGTCAGGGTTCCGCTGCTAGCAAAGCGTTCATTTTTGTGGGCACCGTCGACAAGACAATTGGGAAGCGCCCAAAAGCCCGCCGAGGGTACCAGCATCCCGCAGCGCGTGCAATCAAAGATTCACGTAGAGGATCGCCAGAGAAGTGCGACGAAGTAGAGAAATGACGCACGAAGTGAGTCACGCGGCTGAGGCAGGAATGCTTGTCAGGTGAGATGGTGGGTATATTATATAGCTGATCAAAATGCGACGACAATGCTGGGGATCCGGGGAAAACAACACATGCAAATACTCAATTCGAAGATGATTCATCGTGGCTGTCGCTGCTAAGTCGTTGCGCAATCCACTGGTCGAAATCTACGCATAGCCTCAGTACGCCATGGTCAACACACGAGAAGCACACGACGCTCACCGTTCTCGCACAACGCAAACTGCCAGCTGTGCGAAGCACACTCGTACTCCAACTCGCCAACCAAACCCTGCACCGCGCGGGGCAGCGCGGTGACGGCTCTGACGGTCAGCCGCTTGAACGAGCGCGCCTGTCTGTTGCGGTGAACGCACGCGAGAACCGCGCGGAACACGTCCTTGACCTCTTCCTCGTCCTCCGCATCCAACCTCCTTCCCTCCTTCTCGTCCTTCTTCTGCTCCGCGTCCGCGCCCGCGCGGCGGCGGCCGTGCCACACGACGACGACGAGCGTCTCCAGGGTATCAGGCACGCGCCAGTCCTTGGCGAAGAACTCGCCGTCGTCCGGGTGGAGCGGGCCCACGACGAGGTGGCGGAGGGCCTCGAAGAGCGCGGCGTCTGCCCACGCACGGAACTGCAGGCGCTCGATCGCGCGCCCGACGACGTGCAGGCGCTCGAGGCGGCGCACGACGGCCTCCTCGACGACGACGGCGCGCATGCCGGCCGCGGGCGCGGCGTCCCGGACGTCGCGGTACACCTCGAGCGCGCGCAGCGCCGGCAGCGTCCCCGCGGACACGAGCGGCGCGCACCCGTGCCGCACGAGCGCGACCTGCAGCGTGTGCACGCGTGGGAGCGTCGGCACGTACGGCGCGCACTTCGTCGCGGCGCTGCTCGGCGGGATGTCGCGCAGGCACAGGCGCGTGAGGCGCGCCGGGTCGAGGTTGTGCGGCTTCGCGTGCCGCGCCCAGGGTTCGTTGAAGAAGCTCGGGCCGTAGAGCGTCAGGTGCGGGATCGCGGCGTCGCTGTCGGGGCGCGCCGGCAGGCCGTACACCACGACGTTGTCGATGGGGAAGGGCTGTTTGTCGCCGTCTTGGCGGGCGAGGCCGTAGTTGCAGACGATGAAAGAGTCGAGGATGGTGTATTTGCGAAGGGTGCGGGTCATGTCCGCCTGGATACGCTTGGTGTTCTTGCGCTTCGTCCCGAGTGGGTCTGAGAGCCTGTTGCCTTCCTCGCTGAAGTTGAACATCCAGACCTCCTTGAGCAGATGCCTGAGGCGCGGCGCGTTCTCGAGCGTGCGTGACAATGCGACCGCGGCTGCCGAGGAGTAGAGGAACGGGCATCCATAGAGGTATTCGACAGCAGCAGGATACCAGGCTCTGGAGATAAGCGCCGCGGTGACGAGGCAGGTCTGGGTCTCCTTCAGCACCCTGCGGAAATCCTGCTGGGCCTCGACGGTGTCGAAAAAGGCGTTTGGGTGGCGTCTGAAGTTGAGCGCATTGTCGTGAAGTGATGGCAGCGCGAAGCCAAGGATATTGAGCACGATCTCGGGAGGGAGGTGCTGGACGCTGGCAGGGAGGCGAGAGGGGACCGGGGTGCGGCTTTGCTGCGATGTGGACGACGGGACTGGGGTAACCTGGACCTGTCCATCAACAGTAGTCGAGCGCGCCTTGCCTGCACGGCCGAACGCGAAACTGCGAAAGTCGCGAGGAAAGAGCGAGAACGACTGGCTCCTGTGTCGGATGGAATCCATGGGCAGCAGCGCAGTGGTCGTGGTGTGGGTGTGGGGGGAGAGAGAGCAACGCAAAAGTTGGTGAGTCTCGCCTCTTAAATCTCAGATCAGAGACATAAAATCGCGAAACTTAGATGCTCACATGTCAAGCGGAGAAGTCACGCGAGTGATTGCAACGGAGTCGAGCGGACAGCCCCACAGCGATGAGAACCCGACACTCTTTTGCCAGAGGACGGCTAATAGAGTCGATGTGAACGCGCTCGCGGTCGAAGACAAGAAGCGTTGGTATTCCGCACGCTGCTGCTACAGCGAGGCATGTGTGGGAGGACCGAGCGAAACATATATGCGTCGCATCTGGAGGCCGCCTTGGCTTGTCTGGCGCAGGCGCGTCTAGTGGCGAACACGGCGACTTGTGGCGTAACGACGCGCCCTCAGCTGGGGCCAGTGGCACTGTCTGCAAAGTATCATATGCAATGCCTGGACCCCGGAGGGCAACCCTTATTGGGTCTCTGTGAGTGATTCTGTCAATCGAGAAAATTTTCGAGATGCTCACCTGTCCGTGATCCAGATCCCGTGAGCGGCCCAGCGCCCTGAGGCAGAGGTGCGCAGTATATTTAGAGACGTCGCTGACTACGCCTGTGCCTGGCGCGGTAGGCTAGCTGAGTTCTGGTGGCGTCGTTACGACATTGTGGCGGCCAGCCGCCTCAAAAACAGCCTGATAGCAGCAAAACGCACGGAACCTCCTGTCATATCCAGTCCTTTTTCAAACGCCACACGCAGTGCAACGCCAAAGATTGCTCGTTGCGATGCAAGATAGCTCGTAACCCGGCTAAAAACACCGAATGTAATTACAGCTTCTGTCCGACGCCAGGGTCACTAACGAAAGTGGGTTCACAGGTGCGGTGGCGGGGGAATATTTGGGCACATCCAGAGGGCAAATTCCTGAGCGAGACATGGGCTTCAGAGCCCGGAGGCTCAGAGGCCTACCGCTCGTCCACGGCGCGCATGCGGAGCAACGCTACACGGGCCTTCGTCACCTGAGCCACAACGTCAGCGAAAATCCGACATACATTCAAAAAAAAGAGAAGACTCACGGAGCGCCTCGATCCGGAACGAGATGCCTTTGCGTTGGCGAAGCGCTCGCAGCTCGCCCAGCAAATTTTCTGGTACGTCCGACTTCGCCCTTTCGTAAGAGAGCCTGTGCAAAAGCTACAAGCTCCCCCTTGGCCACTTTGCCTCCCCATTCAAACGCAAGCACTGAAGGGCCGCGTCCAGACAGACGCTGCGCCGCGAGAGGGCAGAACTGCGGGTTCGCCCGCGCCTCGACCGTCGAGCTGTGCGCGGCGCAGGACGTCCTACGCTGGCAGGCGCGCGATGCCGCCTTTGCGCACACAGTACCGGACCGTGAAAGAGCGCACGGCGAGGCAGTGTTTGGAGTAGGGTGCTGAGTTCCGCCTGTTGCGCCGCCAGGTCGAGAAGGTCGGATGCGGCCTAGCCAGCATGAATGGGCGCGTATACCGCCCAGACGAAGCGCGAGAAAGACAGTACATCGGGAAGCGTGCACTCGAATAGCACCATCTTGCATGTCGTGATGAGCAGAGGCGAGCTGTAGAGCATCTCGGTGCCGACTGAGTACCAGCTGCGACACATCCTGCATACCCAGGCGGGGGATGTCTGGCGGCAGACCAGGCTCTGTGACAGATACAGCTGAAATCTCGGCAGAAGAGATGGTCGAGGGGCTGCTCTGTATCGCAGCGATGATGTGCTGGAAGATTTCGAGGACGATTTCGTTAGGGAGCTGCTGGACTGGAGGAGGCCGCCGGTCGTGGGGCTTGGATATGACTTCGGGCAGCGTAGCAGAGAGAAGCAAGATGCATGTCTGTATGCGTAGGAGCCATGCACGTATGAAGATGGGTAGGGCGCTGTTGGTAAGAGTCGGTGTTGGTGTAGAGAGCGTGGTCATAGCCGTGCCGAGTAAGTTACAGCCTAAGCCGATTTGTAATATACGAAGAGTTCACTTGCATATGGATTCTGCACCTCCTGCGGACTTGCACAGAGGCGTAGAGGCATCTAGGGGCTTTCGAGCCCGCTCCTTCTGGCCAATCTATCCGCCAAGTCTAGGACGCGACAGAACGGAAACCAGTACTAAGACCAAGTCATGATTCATGTCCAGAGTTTGAGCACCGTCCACAAGCTAGGTCTACAATGCGTAGTGCACTGTAGAGGCTTCGCGGCAGCAGCGTGAAGGAGATTCGAGTTCAGGCTGGTTGTCCGCGGAGGGAGCTGAGGTTCGAGCGCGAGAGGTGATCAGTTTTGCAATCTAGGAAGTTATCTTATCTTTCCATACAGTACACTATCTTATCAGATAGCTCCCACAATAAAATGTCGCGGCACAGGCTGCGCACAGTCGATCACCTCCAGCCCGTTTATCCAGATGGCTCCTTACTCGCTTTAACACATGGCCACTGATCAGGCATGTTGCAAGTAGCCAGGAAAGATAACGCGGCCACCGCGTGCTCCCACCCCGTTGCTTACCGAGAATGACCAGACCCGTATGTTGCCCACAATGCCCCACATGGCACCGAGAGCTCGAGGTCATGGTCGACAAGCTTCTTTGGCATGGCTCTGCCGCATGATGGCATTTTGCCAGGCCTGGTGCGGTATATCTGGTACGCTGATATGATACACGCATGTATCTGCCCAGATGTTCAGGTAAGACCATGCTTCTCGTCGCCAGCTCGTCGCTTCGGACTCATGCTGCTCTGGCAGGTCCATTCCTCCGGCAGCGGCACTTTGCTAGCCGAAAGTTTGGCCTGTCATCATATTTCAGAGGAGCATCGACATTTCCAAGGCATTGTAATTTTTGGTTGCTCGTCGCCTCCACATCATATGGTTTGCGTGATCGTCGCGAAGGTAGTCTCATTCCTGTAGCCAGCACTACTGTGATTGTGCAGTAACTGGCAAGCTACTCTGAGGAAGGGTAAGTTACTCACAGCTACTAATCAAGAATTATAGTAGTTCGGTCGCCAAGATGGACGCTGGGCCTGGCAGTCATCGCTTCTTCCTTACGCCCGCTGCCCCGCCTATCGCTCTGTATGGTCCAAGATCCATTCGTTCAAAGAAGCACAGATGTGCCGTGTGCTTCTCGGTGTGCTCGGCAATGCATGACCACGGACCACGCTGCGCTTTCTGTACAAGCGAGCTTTAGGACACTTCATGCGGAGTGCGCTGCACCAGTATAAAACTCTGCGTCTTCGTCAGTTAGAAAGCATCGAGTCCACGCCCTTCTTCTCTCGCCCACACTCTCTGAGTAAGATGGTGTCCAAGCTTCCCATCTTTTCTGCTCTCTTCTCGCTGGCTTTTGCGAAGCCCATGGCTCGCAGCATGAAAGTCCGCGAGGCCAGGGAAAGCTTGCCCGCGGGTTATGTCCGCACTGGCGCTGCTGCCGTGGATACCGAGCTGCAGCTGCGCATTGCGCTCGTGCAGAATAACCCGGAGGGGCTCATCGATGCGCTGTATGACGTTAGCACACCGACCAGCTCGTCCTACGGCCAGCATCTCAGCAAGGAAGAGGTGAGCACATTTCTCTCCAGCATGACCCTCGGTGCTGAATCTCGCCATGCAGGTCGAGAAGTTCGTCGCGCCGGCTGCACAGACCTCTGAGACCGTCAACGCCTGGCTCGACCAAGCTGGCGTGAATGCGACCCCGATCTCGCCTGCTGGCGACTGGCTCAGCATCACTGTCCCTGTCGGTCAGGCGAATGAGCTGTTCGACGCCGACTTCGCCGTTTACACTCACTCCGAGACCGGCAAGCAGACGATTCGCACGATGAGCTACTCGATTCCCTCCGAACTCGAGGGACACATTGACCTCGTTCACCCTACGATCACGTAAGTAATGGTGCTGTTCAGTACGAGTGTGACTTTGACCGGCGTCGCAGGTTTCCGAGCTCAATCTCCCTTCGTCCCGTTGTCTCGACACCGTCTGGCCTCGAGCGTCGTGGTATTGATCCCCTGGCATCTTGCTCAACTTCAGCTGTCACGCCCGCGTGTGTCCAGTCCCTGTACGGTATTCCTGCTACCAAGGCGACCCAGAGCTCGAATCAGCTCGGCGTCAGTGGCTTCATCGAGCAATTCGCTAACCAAGCTGATCTCACTGTGCGCGCAATGTTCAATGCTCTGACGCATGAGATACTGACAGCTGTTTCCGCAGACGTTCTTGAACACATTGCGGCCGGACCTTAAGGGAGCGACCTTTGCTCTTCAGACCCTCGATGGCGGCTCTAACCCGCAGAGTGGCAGCGAGGCTGGCATTGAGGCGGTGCGTGTTTGTCTGGTGTACTCCTGAATACGCGCTCATTTGTCCTGTTCGATAGAACCTTGATATTCAGTACACTGTTGGCGTCGCCTCCGGCGTGCCAGTCACCTTCATTTCTGTTGGTGAGAATTTCAACGACGGCGACCTTGACGGCTTCCTGGACATCATTAACTTTCTCCTCGGCGAGTCCAATCCGCCGCAGGTTCTGACCACCAGCTACGGCAACAACGAGAACGAAATCTCGCGTTCTCTTGCCAAGTAGGTTATGTCTCGGCTCGACCTTGACATGATAACTTACTGATATTAAACAGCAACCTTTGCAATGCTTACGCTCAACTGGGTGCCCGCGGTACCTCTATCCTCTTTGCCTCTGGTGACGGCGGTGTCTCCGGCTCGCAGTCCCAAAGTTGCTCTAAATTCGTCCCTACTTTCCCCTCTGGATGCCCCTTGTAAGTGTTTCCTACGCATCCTTCTCTTATCATCCTAGCTCACAACAGACCAATAGCATGACCTCCGTCGGTGCCACCCAGCTCACCTCATCGTCAGGCGGAGAGACCGCAGCATCGTTCTCCTCCGGCGGCTTCTCCAACTACTTCGGCACGCCGTCATATCAGGCCACTGCCGTCTCGTCCTACCTCTCCTCCCTTGGCTCGACAGACAATGGCAAGTTCAACACCTCGGGGCGGGCGTACCCGGATGTCGCAGCGATCGGGGTGAACGTCGAGATCGTCGTGAACGGCCAGGCCGAGACGGTGGACGGCACGAGCTGTGCAAGCCCCATCTTCGCGAGCACGATCGCGCTTATCAACGACGCGCTCATCGCCGCCGGCAAGAGCCCGCTCGGCTTCCTCAACCCGTTCCTGTACGCGAACCCCGGTGCGTTCAACGACATCACAAGCGGCGACAACGCTGGGTGCAACACAAATGGCTTCCCGGCCGGCAAGGGCTGGGACCCTGTCACTGGGCTGGGCACCCCGAACTTTGCGGCTCTGAAGGCAGCGGCTGGCGTTTGAGCATCGTGGGTCTGCCACATCACCCAAGGCAACAGCAGCACCGACAAAAATTGTACAACGTGGTCTTGAAGCGCGCAAACGCGTAGTTTGCTTAATTTCTCTGTAGACAAAAAGTGCAGTGTTCGTTAGTGTGCATCATAATTTGAGGCTTGAATGCTGAGCGATGGGCGGCTTGTACTGTGCCACTTTGTTAACCGCCTAGTTTAAGACAGACATGGGATAATATAGCACCTGGGCTAGTGCTGTAGTAGTGCAGTGCTGAAGATGATGAACTGTGCACCGTAATCTTGAACAACGCGACCTGAACGCATCCAAGATCCCGAAGTTGCGCAAGAAAAAGCCAGGCTGCGAAACGCATTAAAACCAGCAAAGGGCTGTAGTTGACAAAAACATGCAAAAGATAAGTTATCTAGCTCCCGCCCTATATGTACAGAGCAAATGCGAGCACCTCAGCGTCGTTGCTCACCCGGCAAACGTGCGACTACAGTTGCATGTATGTATCGACTAACCTGCGAACGTGTGGTTCATCAGCTGATGCCATCTACTTGATATAGGGTACGCACTTGAATCACTCGCTGTCCACGCAGACTTCTGCCTCGCAGCAGCGGCGGCAGCGCAGAAATACAGAAATACAGAAATACAGAAATACAGATCCACTTCCTAATAGTGCCGCCCTCGT